CAGGCTGCCCTTAAATTCTACATTCCCCAGTGGGAATGAAGGGATTACAGGAATTACTTCCTGTGATCCCTACCAACCTGAGTTATGGTCCTAAAGCAGTAAGACCACCATGTCAAGCACAATTTTATTGAGCTTTACTCCCCTGGCCTTTCTAAGTATACATTGAGACTGTTTGCTGTCAAACACAATTTCTGCCATACCGCTACAAAATTCATACAACAGGTTCTATTCATATTGGATTAGAGACTGTGCTTATTATTTGGCATGAATCTATGAGGTAATGTGCAATAAATTGTAGGTTACCATTAGTTTTCACAGTGCCTTGAAGAAACAGTAAAAATTAAAGGAGGGTATAATTCAATTAAGTGTAAGGTTCTTCATGTAAGCAGGAAGAATCAGCTATGAAAAAAAACAAACGAGATATGAAGTAGTGGTTCTTCAGAATAGTATCTGAAATTAACAATGAATCACAAGTCAAACGAATAAAGAAATTCATGCCAATATTAAGAAGGCTGATTTTTCTTAGCAAAGGTATCCTCTGCAAGACATGACTTAATTCCTTTTTTCCACTCAGTGCTGGTAAAAGACCAAATACAGCATTGTGTCTAATTGGGAGCACCATTGTTCCAGAGAGATATGGACCAAAGGGAGTAACTGTTTTATCTGAACACAGATAAAAGTGATGCATATGATCAGCTATCTAGAAAACATTTTCTGAGGAAAGGTTGAAGAAATTGGAGATAAAAAGGCTATAGAACACAAGACTAAGAGATGATCTGATAGACCTTCTAGTAGGTAATAAGTAGTTTAACAGAAGAATGGAATAATTTGTTTTTCTTCTCCACTCTGTACAGGACAAAATTACTGGGGTCTAGACTACACCAAGACTATTCAGGTTAGATATGACAAAGAAATTTCAGAGTAAGGACAACAAAATAATACAGTAGGTCATCACAAGCAAATTTCCTTTATTGGGAATTTCTAAAGAGAAACTGGATAAACATCTGTCAGGAATTAGACAAGTCACACTGATGCTACCTTAGGGAGAGGAATGGATAGATTACTTCAGGATTTTTGTGGTTTTATGACTAACAGCATCTATGATATCAATCTTTTCAGTTTCTCTTGATATAACATTGTATCTGGCACTAGTATTTTTTTTTTTTTTTGCTATAGGCTTAACTCCAGCTATGTTCTTGGGTATCAGCAGCTACAGACTGATGTGCAACATGGTGGCAGTACTTGCCAAAGTTTTTCTTTAGGCACCAAGTATTGAAAACAATTTTGTTTTTATGAAATTTGGTTTAATTTAGTTTTAGTCAAGTTTGAGTACTTTGTCTATGTACATAGACAAACATTTTGTCTGGCTTTTCAAGCTTTATTATGAATGCTACCTAATATATGAATTACACAATTTTATCAAGTCTAAAATCCAGTTTCAGATTTTCCACTTACTTTGTCTTAGTCACATAAGGAAATTAGAGAAGCAGGCATTTTATATATTTCCATGTATGAAAAACTTGGCAGATCTTACTCCTTCAAAAATGTGATTTTATAATTTTAGAAACTTTTCTCAATGCAACATTATTGTATTACCCATTCCTGGTATAATTTTCTGGTGCTCACATTTCTATTATGTGGAGAATTATATGCTTAATGTTATTAAATTAATGAATTTAAAGGTTTTAGCTGAAAATTGAGTTTTCTGGTTGTCCATTGAGTCTGGTGTATAGAGTAGCCCTGCTACTTTCCTGCAGTATTCTACAAGTAATTTACATTGTCCTTAATAGTATTATGCTCTTGACACTGTATAATTTCAATTCAACTTTTTTTTCTTGAATGAAATTGTTTACTTCCCTTGAAAAATACTAAAGGATTCTTTGAAGCTTAGAACATTCACAGATGTCCCAGTATCTACTTGGCATTGAGTTTCCTGTTTCTGTGCTGTGTCTTTACATGTAGTGGTACTCTACGTTTTAGAAACCATTTAAATTGCACTGTATTAATATATATAGGTCTAAAATCTTGTCCCTCCTCCTTCTCCTTTTCTTTCTTTATCTGTGAGCTTTAGCATCAATATTCCCTTTTGACAAAGTCACTGAATATGCCCCCCTGTGCTGGGCATTTTCTCTTATCATGGTACTTTTGTCCTGTAACCAAAGATTTTCCTTTGTACTTTCTCTCTCATTATAAGCTGAATTTTGCACTAGTTTTGGTGTATATACTTTGCATTTATGTACTTTCATACACTAATTTCTGTTATTTCTGTTGCATCTAGTTGTTCTCTGCACCTGCTTTGAACAACAGATGCTACAACCCAAACTATAGAAGCAAAAAAGCCTCAACAACAATTTCTTATTATTTATATATCTTAGTCTTAGGGAGACCTGATTGTTTCTTTCAGCATTCAGGAATACACAGTACAGGAAGCCAAGGAGCACTTTTAAGGAATAGACTGTCTTGCATGTTGCTGATAGGGACTATATAAAAGTTACAGAATTGCAATTAATATGTAAAAACTTCATCAGCCACTTAAAGCTGAGGCAGAACCTTGTTAACACTGAAGTACAGCAATCAAATAAACTACACACACATCTTTAATTTTCTTGGATTTACAATGTACTTTGTAATTCCCATTAAAACAATTTTCTGTAGCCTTTTGAAATACTGGATTGCAGAATTAGGTATCCTCTAAAAGTGGATTTTGACTTTTATTAAAAATAATATACAGATTCATGTAATACATGGAACAAATTGATTTTAGAACAGCTATCTCTAACTATTGGAAGGCATGTTCCCAAGTTAATTAGACCTCATTTGTGTCTGAGTTAAAATCTTATTTATGAACTATTCAGTCTGTGAAATTTGGACATCATCCTTCTGCTTGTATTTGAAAGCATATTCAAAGCAAAAGACTGAAAAGTCAGACTGGACGTCCCTAATTCCCCTCACATATGCAGTGTGGATAGCAGATATAATGGGAAACTAGAGAAGCACAAGCCAGAGATGAAGTTCCTAGGACACAAAGTTCTTCTTAAAGCCCTTTTCCTCATAATCCATTCTAACTGTGAATATCCCCAAAAGACAAAACCAAGAAATACCTGTGAGGGTTTTTAATATTATTATTTCATTATTTAAAACTGCTTTGAAGAAATAAAAATGTCACTGTTCTTTTAAACAGTTCTGATTATGTGAATACTAACGGAAAAGGTTACTTAGAATTCTTATTAAGCGATTAGCTTTCTTTTATATTTTTATAGGACCTTCATAATGACAATATAAATTTAGTGCTACGGCTGCTCGTTAACCATTTGGAATGACACAAATATCTTCTTTATAGATGGGAAGGTGGAAGGTCGTGAAAAATAATTCTGGTTTGAATCTGTGAAAGTAAATTCATGTAAATTGCTGTCAGTCATCTATGTATTAATTTCACCAGCAATATATCATCATAAATGACCTGTAGCCAACAATTCTTCACTTGAAGACATGCAATGCAAATATTTATTCCAAACAGAAAAAGAAAATCACTTAAAGATATGCATAAGTCTTACCACACCAATAGAAAAGTAGTTATTGATGATGTTGTAAGGCACTGGGTCTCCTTTCTCATCTTTATCGTTTGGTATTACTTCGAATTTCCACCTGTCCAGCAAAATCTCAGAGCTGTTCTCAATGTCTTTTAAGATATTCATCAAATTCTCACCTTCATAACCTAGCAAAACATGAAAATCTTTTTTTAATCAAGCATAATAAAGTTTCTCTTTCTAGATGTCTGGTTGGATGGGGCTCTGAATAACCTGATCTAGTTGAAAATGTCCCTGCTCATTGCAGTGGAGGTTGAACTAGAGGACCTTTAAAGGTCCCTTCTAACCCAAACTATTCTATGATTCTATGACTGGAAAAAGGAAAACTATGCATATAAGACCTGAAAAAGCAAGATGGTGTTTGAAGTATTCACTATTTTTCAGCACCTGTTATTAAAAGGAGTACAAATACAAAGCTGATTTCTGCACTCAGCTAAATTAATGCAAACTTTGATTAATTCTACATATTTCACTGGGCATCATATTTACATGGGAGAAAATAATTTCATCTTCAAATCTTGACAATCCCTTGGATTTTCCGAACAATTATAACAGTTATCCAAAAAGCTAAACACTTTGGAAAATGTTCTTGCTATGAAATAATAATAATATTTAAATTCCTTTGATTTCAAAATTTATGGAAGAAAGACATACAGTAGGTTTGTCTGATTAAAGTCTGACAAGAGACTGAAAGGTTAAAAGCTGTCTACTGTTTTCTGTTGATTGTTTCAATGTGATTCAACATAACAAATCCAAAATTTTAAATCCATAACTGAGGACTTATCAGCAGAACTAACATTTTTCCATCTTTCAACATCTTTATGAGCCTCATCTTGCTCTGTAGAGAGATCTTCCTCTTACTTGCCAAGAAGCACTCACATGTCTTTAGGCAATTCATTGGTAGTAGTAGTTCACTACACTGTATACTAAACTCAGTAGAGAACTTGTTTACACACTCCTGACCATAGACAATGTAGAGTACGTGTGTGTGCACTTGTAAAAATTGCAGGGATTTTACTAAGTGATGTGTTCAGTTCTGAATACTATTCACACCAAATGACTGTAATAGATAACCAAGATCTGTGGATTTATTCCTTCTTCAAATCAGAAATAAATGTTCATATTCAAGCAACATATACTTCCTGGGTCATTAACAGTTTTAGCAACCAAAGCTATTCAAAGCCTCCCTGCTCAAAACCTACTGATTTCTTTATGGTTGTATGGTTGATTTTGTTAGTTACTGCCAACCACTGCATAACAGCAGCATGCACAATTGCATTTGTCTGCATCCCTGACATCACTCACGAGCAACTTAGTTTCCGGAAGCCCTGTCTCCTCTCCCATCTACGGAACTTCCATAAAATCTTTTATGGCATTGCCTACCACAAAGCAACTGGGCAAAGAATGATGAAAGCCAGAATATTTTCATACAATCTTTTTATACTTTAGTCCAGATGGAATCACTCAAAAACAAAGGTAAATGGAAGGACAGGTCCTGACTAATGTAATCAAATGCTCTCATAGCTGAGAACAGGGGATCAGACTAGTAACTTCCTGTGGCCCCTTCCAATCTGAATTATTCTATGACTCTACTCTATGAACTGTTCAGAAAGTGACTAAAGGATGATTTGATTGGGTTATGGGTTGTTTTGTTTTTTTTTTCTAAGACTATCTGAATAAATAATCACCAGTCATGACAACAAAAATAAAGGAGGTCCTCAAATGATTTGACAAAATGTTCTGGTTAACAAAGAAGTTCTATAGCATGGAAACTACTGAGAATTTGCTATCTGGTAACAAGTCAGATAGTCATTTGGAAAGGAAATTTGCTGTGATAAGACAGAAGAAGGAAGAGATATCTATAAAGGCTGAGAAGTTCCAAATAAATAGCCAATACACAACATCTCAACTGAAACAACCAAGCCCTGAAATAGAACTGGCTGTGAGCCCATAAACTGACATGCTTTCACCAGAGACTGAGTCTTGCCCAAGACTTTCTACTTTGTGTCTCTTTCAAGTTATCCTATAATGCAAATCCTGAATGGAAATAAGTCATTGGAGGGCCTGACAGTAAGGCTCTATACATCCAAGAAAGGATGCAAAGGGTATTAAAGGTTTCACATATTCTTTCAGCATTCTTTGCCTTTGCTTTTCCTGATAAATAGCACCACAGTATTTATTGTCTGTAATCTTCTGTAGGAGAAGAGAAGAGGAGTGGACCAAATGAACTAATCTGAGATTGAGACACATTTTTCATTTAATATTTATGAATATTAAAAAAGACAAAACCAGTCCAAACTCATTATTAGCTGTTCTCAGTAACCCTTTCAGAACAGCACCAATTAAAATCCATTTAAGAATAGTCCCTTTGTAAGGTATTGATTAAAAACATAAGTGCAATACAGATGGTAAAAAGCCAGACAAATAGCTATATACTGCTCTCATTGCACCTTGGAGCCTTTTTGGTGTCAGCAGCATCTACAAACAAGGTATGAAGAGTGATCACAACCTTTAATATCTATAAAATCGTTCATGTAACATTTACAGACAGCTAATTCCAAAAAGACAAAAGGTGATAAAGGTCTTTTACATACATCATAAGAAATACAAATGTTGAGAGTAGACTTTGATGCAGAAGTTAGTTTTTTTTTTCCTTTTAATTACACAGTGTATTGTATTTTAATTTGTGTTTACCTCCTCCCCATCTCAGACACCTTGCTAAATCATTGCCAGTCCCAAGAGGCAGGATAGCAACTGGAGGATGCTTAATCAAGTTCGCTTTCTCTGTGAATAAAGAAGGAAAAACATAACTAAGAAAAAAAAATAAATCTGTGTGGTACTGCTAGAGTAACTGTGTTAGGATTTTTTTCAGGGAAACACTAGATTATGCTGCCTGCTTAGCAGCAAGCATTTCACCAAGCCACTCCATTATGCTGCCCCTTCTCCAGTCAATATTCAATCCTTAATCCTAATTTACTCAATTGTCATCACAAGGACTTTTGTAACCCATCAGTATGATAAACATTCATAAAAAATTATACTCAAGATCTTTCCAAGACTCAATATGTTGTGCTCTCTGTTGCTCTCAGCTCTGCCATTCACAGTTAGGAATGCAAAAAAAGTGATAGTTAAGGGCATGAATAATAAGATGAATCTTTTACTTTTTCATCTGGGTGACCAAATTTGTGTTTACCTGTGTATTCACTTGGATTTGTGTCTACACGTGAGCACCATTACCAACAACTTCCTGGAACGAACACCAGGGGTTTGTCCATCAGGAATTAAACCTGCTATTCAAAATGAGCATTGATCTATCTGATCAAGTTTCTAAGTTGATATTTTGTATTTACTATGCAACGTTTTGAAATGTATGAACTTAGAGTGTCTTTTAACTATTTACCGGTACTTTTCTAGCATTTCAAGTCAAAGGATCTATGGTCAAAATCCAATGAGAAAACCCAGTCAAAAAATACAGCTTTCTAGAAAGCTGGAAGTGGGGCATCTATCCCGCAGGCATAATATTTCAAATATATAGTTTGTCAAATTCCCCATTTAATTGAAATGAGTAGTATGTCTAGTTTAAAAGTTATACTTGAACAGTTAAGCGGCCAGCTATTTTGTTCATAGAATAACGCACAATTATCAGCAATTCTCAGCAGGAGTTTCTATATCCAATGGATATGGCAGGGACATCTCATTATTTATCAATTTCTCTCACCAATACTTTAGGAAGATTTAACATTCACAATACCAGTGAACTGCAAATCTTTAAGACAATGTAATCTTTAATAGAATAATTAAAAAAATTAAAAGTCTCAAACTGAGGAGAGAAGAGTTGATGTTGATTTTTTTTTCCTTTTCTTTCCTTTTTTCTTCTCCCTTTTCTTTTTGCTTTTCTCTTAGTTAAGATTCTGTATATCAGTACATCAGGGAAGAAAGGCTCAAGTTAGAAAGATTTGATTCAGTTTGGGAAACAGACTTTGAAATTAAATTAAAATAGATTGATTCAAATTTCTTGCTTTCTGGAAATCCAGAAACACCAGAATTCTCTAGGGATTTTGAATATCCTTTGCGATTTTAATACCTTGAAAAACATTGATGTCCCAAACTAGTAAATTTCAAAAATTTACATGAACAAGATCTTATTTGAAATAGCTGTATCCATACTTTGGTATATAGAGAAGAGCAGCAAAATGAAAAACATGAGTCAAGCAAAACTTTGTAAATGCTATTGATTACCTATGCAATCCAAAATCCAGCCTACTGTTCCATCTCCACCACATGCTAGCACTCTGAAGTCAGGAACATCTCGGAAAAAATTTAACCTAAAAACAGTAAATGAAGATATCTATTTAATTATCATAAATTCATTGTGTATTATGGAAACCTTTGATGGCTTAAAACATTTCATATAATAGTAAATGGCAAGTGAACACTTGAAACAATAATCACCTCTGCCCACGCTTTAATTTTTTAGACAAATATAATCCAACACTGTATTATCTGAAAAAATTAATATGAAATTTTTAATTCAAGGGTTATTATGGCACACTAATACTAGAAATAGCTTGGATCTGATTGTTAATGCAAATCTTTGTCTTAGTTCAAATCTTGTTTGAAACTATTGTCAGAAAACATTATCTGTTTACTTAGTTGTAAATGGATATGTGGTCTCTCAAGACAGAAAAGTCTAAGGTGGCTAAATGTATTAGCCCCAACATTTCCTTGTGAGGTGCTAGCTACAAAAGCATATGAAAACAGCATATTTCTGATAGTACACAAATACACAATAAGCTGAGCACTTTGTGGTTGATAAAAACAACTTTGCACCAGGTTTTAATACAAAATGAGTAAGCATCCAATTGAATGCCCCCATTCCATCATCCTACAAATCATATTTTCAAAGTGAAATAGCTTTCATAATATTTGCCTGGCTATTTCTGCTTCCATATCCATCGAGTGCTGGACAGTATCATGACCTCATTATCCACTTAATTCAATACCAATGTTCCATAATGCTGAAAAGTGAGGATATATTAAAACAATTCTAAGCTGCAATATTTAAAATTTAAAAGCACCTTTTCAGGAGAACCTTTGACACATGATGAATTTATTCTTTACATATAAATTGTGACTAGACAAAAACCTTCTAGTAATTTTGCTGAATTACTATATACACGTGTGTATACATACATTCACATATATTCAATTGATTAGTGTCACTGACATCTTAATGCATATTCTATACACTAGTGAGCAGATCTGATTTCCAGTTTGCAATCTCATATATAACGTATAATTAGTACATTGTACCCAAATTCTTAAATACAAATAAATTTACACAATAACTTGCAAGTGTTTAATTCGAGCTATTTTCCATATGAAATTTTAATGCTGCACAGAGAATGGTGTTCCTCTCCCTAGAAAGTTTTAAACATTCTTTTAGGCCTCTTGATAAATTCAGGAACACATGAAAAACTACAGAGTAGAAGAAAGAGCATGGGAGAAGGAAATAAAAAGCATAATGGTCAAAAAATGTTATTTAAGATGTAGAAGATGACAGGACAACTTCTTGTTCTATTGGTTTTAGACCAGAATTTCAAGGTTAGCAAAGCTACATAGAATTAAGGCCATCACATTGTTGTCCTACTCTAATTTTCTCTGCTCAGAAGAGCTCTTAGGTAATTTCAAGTGTCAAGTAGAAAGTCTGAAGGATGCTTACTCATTCTGTATTAAACTCTGCTTTGCCCTTCTCACCTCTTACATTCTACTTCACACATCCGCAGGACAAATGCTGTAGGATCTCCTCTGATCCAAAACATCGTGCCAAATCTGACTCGGTACACTTGGACAATACATCTAATGAGAATATGTGCTGAAAAGCCCTCTGCTGGAAGTCACCTCCTACCAGTGTAAGAGTGGGCACTGAGAGATGCCCTGGCCCACAGGTGTGCATCTCTGTTACTTCATGAGACCTGGCAAAAAGACAAATGCCTCCCATGACCAGCATTCCCACTCCGACCCAATGAGTTGGGCCTGTATTGCTTCCAGTACTAAGGGTATTTCAAATTAATTTAAAATCAAATTATAGCCCAGAGGTGACAGTAGGGTACTAACTTCTATACATACTTAAGCATTTCTACCACACATAACAGATGTCAAAAAGAAAGTCTGGAAAAAACAAATAAACAAACAAATAAAATAACCAACACCAAAAGTAAAGGGTCGATGCTACCATTAATTCAGATATACAGAACATAGACCTAAACCTCTGTCTCCCTTTTTATAAACAAGCATCTTCACCATATGACTATCAAACATTCTTTTTGTTTTGACTGTCCATTTAATATTCATCAAAAAAGTATAACTTCCCAAGAAAGTGGAGGATTGAAGAATCTGACAAAACCATATTGTCAAAAAAATTCTCAATGAGCTTCATCCATATTTCCACTGGAACACTTTATATTCATACACAGTGAATTTTCCAAACCATGTCATAGTACAGCATTAAGTTCACATGACTTTTTCTTTTTATAAACTTAAACATAAAAATGAAATACTCATTATATCAATATATAATACATAAAATATACAAAAAATAAAATATAATATACCTTACATCATATATTTGCATATATACAGTGCGTACAAACATACCATAACAAATAAAATAAATATTTATAAAATGAAATTAATTTATAAAATCAAGTATAGTTATATAATTATATATGTAAATAAATCTCATTCACTGAATTAGAATGTGCAGCCTACATTAAGAGCTGGGAAGGGAACATGGTTTTCTGTTTATAAGATTTCATTCAAACTCAGCAAATGTTATAATTTTAAAGAAAGAATTTGAAAGGTATCTTAATAGAACTTAAGGTAAAGAGTAAGTATTACCTATCAAGACAGCTTTAGTCAATTAGTGTTTTAATAACACCTGTTACCTCTTATCCACAGAACATTTTTATACAGTTTGAACAAAAGAATTCTTGGAGAAGAACTTCGTAAAAGTGGTTTGAAGTGGAAATAAAAAAAATTGAGGTCATCGTAAAGGCTTTGTGCACTGTCAGACTAAGGTAAAGGACCAGAATAGAAAATTCAGTGCTATTTTATTGAATTGATTTCTAAAATTGTATAAGAATTGTAGGTATATAATATAAACAACAAATAACATAAAAAATATAAAACAGTACTTACAATGGGTCTCTTCCCCCAAAAAATTATCTCTACTTTAAAAAAAACTATTATTATTTTTTAACAATTTAGATGATTACTCTTTACTTAATATCATACTTGTGATATTGTGCTAAGTACAAAGGAGAGATGTCCATTACATCAATAACTTTTACAGAAATTATGTCAATAACCTTGACAGAAACTAAATAGGACATGAGAAACTGGTAAATCAGAAACTTCAAAACATGTATTCTATTGGTATCAAATTGTTTGCACTATAACTCACACTGAATCACTTAATACAAGACATTATTTTCATTTTTTTTTTCAATTAAGAAAAATATTGCCACTGAAAAAAAAATCCTCTTTTCTTTATGGATATGAGAACAGGTAAACATTATTTTATACAGATTTGATTTTTATAGGCATTATCATTAAAAGCTTTCCTACACCATTTAACATAAGTCAGCAGAGCGGGAATGGTACATAAGAACATCAGGCTGGTACAGACTGTAACCCAAGTCACACCCATTCGATCACTGGCATGAAAGCAATAATGAAGATCAGCAGAACTCACACTAACATCTCCTGCCACAGTACAAACAAAACTCCTGATACATTTGTGAATAAAAGATGAAAAGCCACAATTCTAATAATCCACAGGAAGACAAAAAAAACCCCAAAATAAAACAAAAAAAAAAAACTGTGGCTGCATACTAAGGCCTTAAAAACAGCAGAATGTTAGCTAGATAAATTGTTAGATGATTCTGAAAAATTAACCATTTTTCTTTCTACTAAGAAAGGTCAATACAACCAATCCCTAAATGTGGATTACAAGAGATTATTGTATTTGTATTTCTATCATCAGAATTGACAAGAACATCTAATTCTTGACTGACAATTGAATTCTTATATCATTAAACTGCAGCTTCCCTTTTTTTTTTTTTTTTTTAACAATATCTCCCACCTTTCACATTCTACAGATTTCATAAGCATATGCATAGTTCTTAGTCCATGGCCAATAATTAACATAGCAAATGGGCTCAGTCATAAGACCGAGCTGGAAAACCTGTCAATAAATATCTTCATCTCAATAGCTCCTTTGTAAATAGACCTTGTTTAGTCTTCCCTGATCCAGTTTCCTATCTGCTGGAAGTAAAACAAATAAATTTAAACCACTGAAAGTATTCGATAGTAGTCTATTTTTATTTTATTTTGCCAGACACAAGGATCACAGACACAGGCAATTATTGAGTTTCTGCTGATAAATTAGTAATTTCCACCTGAAAGATGGCAACTGTTTCAGCTACTATAATACCCTAATTCAGTTTCTCATAATCACCTCATCAAATCCATATGAATACAGAGAAATTATTTATTAATAAAACACCAGTGCAAGAGGGATGAATCTGCTGTTGAATCATGCATTTAATTGATTTATGCACAGATACACACACACCCTTATTCTTATAGATTTTTTAAAAAAATCCTGTCCCACTCACAGCAAAACTACTTTAAAACATAAGTAGCAATGCTTTCCATTTAGGCACATGACTTTTTCTCTCATACCCAGAAGCAGTGCACTATGCAGAGATTTCAGGTGCTCAGCCACACAAGGCAGCATAACAACAGCTCTGCATGAAATCATTCAGCCAGTCTCCTTCACTCACAGTGGAAGCAAAAATTAAAACTGTCAACTGCAGAGAACAAATTGCAAAAAAAGGTAACAGAACTTAGTAACAGTCTATGTTAGAGAAATTTTCTCTTAAATACTCTAAATGGCATTAGCACTCACAGCGGAAGCAAAAATTAAAACTGTCAATAGCACAGGCAAAGAATAATCCACTGATACTGGCATCTCAGGATAGGTATCAGCTAAACATAAGGTAAATCGCAAATTATCAGTGGATATAAAAACATTATTTAACTTGTTAAATTTCTCCACTGCAGAGAACAAATTGCAAAAAAAGGTAACAGAACTTAGTAACAGTCTATGTTAGAGAAATTTTCTCTTAAATACTCTAAATGGCATTAGAGCTACTTCAGCTGTTGTGGCTTAAACCCTTGTTTTTACTGAGCTGCTTTTACAGTTACCCCTGAGTAACTTGGATTTAGTTTTTGGGAAAGGAGAATAATTTAGAAATAG